AAGCATATGAATGCTCTCAAGCATATGAATGCTGTAGACAGTTGAATAGGAACCATACGAATAGGTTTAGTCTCCTAGCAGTCAAACTGGAACAGCATACAATAAATCCTTCCCCCAATAATGAGACGACGCTTCACTTTGAGGGTTAAAACAGGAACTTCCTGTACAGTCTCTTTTATTCCCAATCCACAAACATAGTACAGCCCACAGGGCGTTACAAAACAACCAATCAATCCGTACAATACACCTAGACACTCCCACACAAAATCATCCCCTCTGCATGTGATATGATTACTGAACACAATGGATAATCTCATTATCACCGGCAGAGGAATACAGTTTTTACACAATATTTATAACTTCTAAAATATACATGTCACAAACATAAAACATACATTTTCATAATCAATCCATTCAGGGGAACAACATATTAAAAAAATGGTACGAATCAGACCAGGGGTTCAAAAGTTAAGGGAAAGTCCTTTGTGACTAAATGAAGCATGGCTTTCCGGCCCAAACCAGTTTCAGAGTCTTCTATCCTGGAGATAAGTGAGAAGTAATTCAATTATCTCCCAGGACAGACCCAAGACGCCATTAAGCACATGGTTGCAAAAAGACATAAAACACTTTAAAATACATAAAGTCACCTTTTACACATAACACACAGACATTTCACATATCCCCAGATAGCTGGGATCTGAGCGCACAAAACTACCAAATAGTGCTCAGTTCCTATTCACACAGTTCAATTGCCATGGAGCCGAAGTCTTTAACTACACAAATGGGCTCCATGGCATAGCTATCTGGGTTAACACATTCACATAAATTCTGGTCCATAGTCCAAAGGCAAGAGGCGGGCAAGCAGCCCCCTCCAAGGACACGTGGCGTGGTCGGTTTCGCCACAGTGATGGTCCCTGGGGTTGGTATGGATATCCTTTGGGGACAATGGCAGGTTTGGAGGTCTTTGTGTGCCTGGGAGCCCAGGAGGCAGGATTCTTTCCCGCGCTGGGACTCCGCGCTGGGACTCCCAGGTACAGAAGCTCTTGAAGAGTTCTGTGCCTGGGAGACAAAGGGACAATGACCCCCCTCACCCACGCTTTGTTCCTCGGGCATAGAGGATTATGGGAAGAAGACCCCTGTCACCGGAAGTGGAAAGATCAGTGTTGGGGTGGCAGAAACAAGGGACAAAACCGGAGAGCAGATAACAGGAAATTATTTAGTGAATAAACACATACATATCTATCAAACTGTAGAAAGCAGGGCAGCTTATATGGAAAACACAAATAGAATGTAGGATGGACGAGGAAACCTTCTAAAGAAATACTAAATTAAAAAAAAAGTGACTGCAAAGAAATATATATTTTATTTATGTCCTCTATATCCCTACATAGAAAAAAGTACCATATTCTTTGTTGTACTTTAATCGATCAATTATTGGGTGATCACATGTATAATGATAGAGTTAACCCTTCCTTTACCAGATAAGCACAGAGTATGGTAACCATGCTGATTAAATCAGGTACAGCTGTGTTTAGGGAGGGGTGCTGGCTATAAAGCTAATGCACTAGGGATATTGACCTTGTACAGAGATATCTATAGACATTTCCTTGTCTACACAAACACGAGGAATTCCTGCTGGAACGCTAGAGATTTGTGTGTTTGTATTCTGATTGCTGTGATAATGGATACAGTAGGTAAGTGATCCCTGTAGCATGGGAAGTTCACATTACTGTTTTTGTTTTGTATTTTCTGCTTTGATCATTTTTAGTCAATGGAGGTGTTTTTCTGACCAGTGATTTGTCATCTCTAAGGTTGCCACCTGGCTGGTATCTTGGTCTGTTTGGTGCTAGTATTGCAAAAATGCTGTCCAGGTAAAAGCTGGTAACTCTGTGCCTGGTCTCTTAAAGCGGTGAGAGAAATCCAGTCAGAACGTCAACATGGTATAGACCCAGAATGTCACAATTCTACACAGTGCATGCACTGAAACACACTACCACACATGCATAACGATGCCTATACTGACAAACAATGTAAGTAACCTTTTTAGAGACTGGTCCTCGTTCAACTTATCCCATGTCACCAAATGTGACTAATTTATGAAAATTGGCAAGGCTGCTTTAACTTCAACAATGGTGGCAACCCTAGTTAAATTTCCAGGCAGAGTAACTGTCTTGTCTCCACTCCCTACACATCCACATTGTCCTAGAGTTAGAATCTTTGGATGATTCTGTAGACAAATTCTCCACTTGCTCTCCATGTGGCATAACATCTCTCCTTTCTGCTAAGAATGTCTGACCTATAGGGACTTGCATCACTTGTTAGAAACATACGAAGAGATATTCCAAATGCCCATGTGTAAATCTGTCAGGCCTGCTCAGTGCACTCTTCCAGCAACTTTTGGGGATTTGACACTAGTTAAATGAGTGTCCACCTGGAGTGGGTTTGGAAAGCATAAAAAGGTTAAAGTGGGTATATAGTAGTCGTTTACGTGTAGGTTTTTTTTTTTTTTTATATTTTTTTTAGGCAACTCTCATTAACAGCTAAATCTTTTGAATGAGACACTTCTGCCAAAGTGATGCATGTCCCTTTAAAGGAACATTCCATGTACCATTTTTGTTTGTTGGGCTGTGTAAGTGCTGACTGACCGGGCTGGATTAACACAGGAACTGATTTGATTCTGTTGCGTGTTTGGTGGGTGTGGGGTGGGGTGTGTGGCTTTTTTTTTAACCCTACTCTTCATATACTCTTGCTTAAGTATGGAAACTTGAAGAGATGTATGGGAACAAAACTCATGCTGACTGGTTGACAGTGAAATTGGTTAAGGTAATGCTGACTTTGGTCTCTCTAACACTGTGGCATATCGCCTTTCTTCTACACTACCTACATACACCATTTTTATTTTTTTTACACCAGGAGCTTCTTCCTGCTAGTAAGGAGACAAGGGGGCAATCCTTGGAAAGCATGGAGCAAGCGTGTTAAGTTGGCATTCCAATTTTTGGGGCAGGTTTGCTACTTTCAGCATTTCTGGTTTTAGGATTTGCTTCAGTGACACGCCCTCTTACCCTGCCCATTGACATTCAGCTTCACTGGACACTGGGGGGAGGGATGGTGTATGAGTTTCCCTCCAGCACCAACTCCATCAGATACCTGATGCTTGGGAGGTATGACTGGCTTTCTTTGGCTGAATATTCTGTAGTTGGGCTCATTACTGTCTGCACCAGGCCCACTGGTCTCTAAATCTGGACCTGGTACTTGAAATATGCCCTTCTATAGATCTCTGCAGAAACCAAATAACCAGCAGTCAGCCTAGCTGAGGAGGTAATCTTCCACTTCACTGGCGCTACAGAGCTTATGTGAGAGGAAAGTGCTATAGTGGCCTGCCTTCTCCAAATGTCTCTGGGCTTCCGGGACAGCTCAATGAATGGAAAGCCTCAAGCTCACACCTCAAAACAAAAGCTTCCTTTTAAAGAGCCTCTGGTCACTTCCTTGGCACAGACTGACCCCTGTCTCAGATGTAAAAGGATGATATCCTTCTGATAGTGACCTGTCCATTTTTCTTTACTGTGCTCCACCACAATGAAATGGTCTTTTGTCCTTGCCTGCATAGTGGTAAGCACAGGCATAGGGAAGTGTGTAAAAATAAACTTTTCATGTTGGCTATTAGTCAGGGGAGGTGTGGATAGGACTAAAATAAGATTTGGATTGGAAGTTAATTAATGCAGTTATCTAAGGGTCTTTTAGATGTTCTATTAATGGTTTAGCAGCATTCATATTAAACAGGTCCCTGGCTAGTTACACCGTGCACTGCCACCATTCAAATATCCCCAGTTAGCTGTATACCCAATCTCATTTATGCCATTTGTGAAATTTGTTCAGTTACATGTGTGCATTCTACATTTCTCTTGGTTCCTCTGCAATCATTCCGATTGACATCTCTCCTAACCCCAATCCCCCCTCTGATACAGTCCTGTTGTATTTGTTCTACATTGCCAGTCTCCTTAGAATTTACTTCTATTGTCTCCTTTCTGTGCAGGAGTTAGAGCCTCATTCACTTATGCCAAATGCTAGATCATGCTAAAACTGAGCTTGTAAATTGTACAAGCACTCACACCGTTGATGGATATTGTAACCCTAAATGATGCTGTTTATAGGTAAAGGTAAATAAAAACAAATTGTTGCTGTAGTTTAGGTCCTAACATCTGTTCCCCTTACCTTTCAGAAACCCTCCTCTTCATTGTAACCAGGAAAGAATATGTTGCTGGAGCTGGATTGCCACCCAGTCACGAAGATGACAACTATATTAGGAGAGCAGTTCCTCTAGGGAAGCTAATGAATGCCTCCAGGGTTTTCTTTAGTCCTGAAGGGGAACTGTTTGCTCTCCGTGGTGGAGATGTGTACCGAGGACCTATGCCTTCAGAGCAAGGCTTGGAATGGTTCAATGTTGCCAAAAAGGTTGGCAAAGTTGACTGGGACAGCTTCAAATTTATCCTCTTTGATCCCAATGGTGTCTTATATGCAGTAACCGGCAAAGGGGACTTCTACAAGGGTCCCGCTCCAACCAATGAAAACATGCCCTGGCTTTATCGCCAAGCCACCAAAATAGGATCTGGTATGTGGAACTCATTAAGGGCCCTCTTCTTTGATCCTCAAGGCATTCTGTATGCAGTGAAATCAGATGGCCGTCTTGTGAAGAGAAACCCCCCAACAGACTCCAAGGATGACTGGTTTGCGACATGCATACCTGTTGGCAATGAGAACTGGTTCCAGCTCACTCATTTCATGGCTTTCAGTCCTGATGGATCATTCTGGTGTGTCAATGATTACACTGGAAAAATGTTTAGATGGTCCCCTCAAGCAGTACATTCCAACTTTGCTCATAAAGATGCTGAGTACATGGGCTGGGGCTATAGTGCAGGCCTCTTCTTTGCTTTCACCTGTGACAAAATCATCTCCAGTATTGAGAGCCTTGAATTTCTTCCAGATGATGGTAAAATTGTATCCCAAGACCCTACAGTGCTGAAAAATGAAACCTTCACAAACACCAGTGATGCTCCTCTTAAATATACATTTACGTAAGTAAAAACCTCAGGTAAACCACACGTAGGTATTCAAAAACCTCATTCCAGAATGGGTAACTCTATGGGTTCCATATTGGACTAGGGCACGTTCCTGTTGAAAGCCAACTCAAGAGGGCAAATCCAATGTGGATATGTCCCTGCCAATATATGCAGAACAGTGGTTCAGGCACTCTGTGATCACTAAAATAGCAGCTTTATTGGGGCAAAAGCAGCAACGTCTCGGCCCTACCGCTTCTTTATCAAGCGTATGTCCTCCCCAAATTGGTGCCTCACTTTGATGCTGTTTTGGAGAGCGCTGGGAGAGATAAAATTAATTTATTGACTATCTTCAAATGCATATTCTGGGGATGGTGTTCCTACTTCTGCCATTCCTGTCATAGGGACAAGCAAAGAAACTCTGCTAGTTGGACTACTTGTAGGGGAAAGCATCTTGTAAGGTTGCATGTTTGTGTGAATGCTGCTTGTAAGAACAATGTTTGTAGGGTTGTATTCACACATTTGCCCAATGTATTTCTTAGACAATATGGTCTTAGACTTTGCTTCTTTACAATCAGATCATATTCAGATGTAGAATTGTGTGCATCTGTCTGCGTAAATGTCTTTAGTGAAAATTGAGTTTCCAGGCTTTCTATTACTGGGCTGTTCCTCTCCAAGAATAGTCATGGCAGGACTATGGTTTAACTGTATGCCCTGATTGCTTTGTGTTGCATTGAGTCAGTGTTAAAATGGCTTGTCACTTGGAAGCAAATGGCTTCTGGAAGCTAGGTCACTATAACCCCCTTAATGACACAAGGTAAACTGAAGCCCTCTAAAGCAATCACACATGTGTTGTACAAGCTTAGACTGGTTTAGTCTGTTTGAGAAAAGAAACTAACCCTGTCCGTGTTCTCTCATGCTAGGGTTTCAAAAACTGAAAAAACTACCAGCACCTTTGGCCAGGAACATGGATTCACAGTTCAGGTTGGAGCCGAGCTGACCTTTAAAGCTGGGATCCCATTCATAGCTGAAACAGAGGGGAAGATTTCAGTCAACACTAGTACATCTCATACCTGGAACTTTACCAAAACCAATGAAATCGAGGTAACATTATTTACTGATTTGAGATGAGGGATATTAATAGTATTTGCCAGTAGTAGCTTAAAACCTAGCTGACCAGGCTAATGGAGGCTGAGATGCACATAAGGTTACTGCCTTGCAATTTCTCCTGCCTGGAAGCCAGCAGATGCCTAGATGAGGAAGTGACCAGAGAAAAGGCTTCTGGAAGTTGTAGTTCAGTTACTGGATTTATATTAATGGCAAGCTTGGCAATACAGAAACCTACCACAGAGCTGCCCAATAGGTAGATTCAGATATGGACCGACAACATTAAGACATAAAATGCTTGTTGTGATGGTACTTGGTATGACTCTTGCAATATCCCAGTGTTAATGGATTGGAGGATAGTGGCTCAAACTCTGGTCTTGTTTATGGCGGTCAAAGGCCAAATTAAATCTTCAGATGGATTCTTGCGGCCTACTAAAAGACCTGGCTGGTGACTGATGATCCTGTGAGTGATCTATGGAAATATGCCTAATCCTTATTAGGATTACTGTATCTGCTCCCATAATTCTGTCTTGTGTTCTTCTTTTTGTTCTAGGCACAGCATGACTATCAAACTACCTGACTCTTGTTCTCTGTATTGTAAGAAAAATCCATATTGCTTTTCCTAAAGATCAGTATGCTCTTTTTTACAAGGTTGCTTCTCTTCTGTCCCCCTACAGACTCTCTTCTCTGCTACTACAGAGGTCACATTGGAACCACACACCAGTGTACGTGTCAAAGCTTCCATCATGAAGGGAAAAATGGATGTGCCTTACCGTGCCAGGGCCAAAACCATGTTTGGCTATGAAACCACTGTAGAGGGAATATGGAAAGGAGCCAGTTGTTTTGACCTCATGGTCTCCCAAGAGAACTACAAACCATTGGCCCGATCTCTTTATAAACTCAGGATAGAGAACCATAGTTCAAACCCACTTACCTGTGTTCAATAGTCCTGAGATCAGTGTTGTATTGGGACTATATCCAATGAATTGTGTAATGTAAAATGGATCCTCAATAAACATTCTTGCATTATTGGTGTCTTACTTGTATTCTGTAACCCACACCCTCTCAGGAAGGGTCATTGTCTATGCTATGGCCCATATCTACACTGGACTAATTCTAAGCTAGAGACTTGCTGGAAACTTCAATACTGAGGTGACTGGATGTAATTATCAGGGTGCCATGTAGTTGGACATGACTTCTTGGATTTGAAAAGGGTGTCACAGCATTCCTCTCAACCCTTGTTTCTTGGTCCCCCACAATGTATCTGGTGTCACTTACTGATTAGTAACTTTGCCATGGTAACACTCTGCACTGCCTGATCACAGGATAAACAATCTGCCTCCTGTATCGGTCATTTCCCTTCCCCTCTCCTGGGTTAAATGCCCTGAGGTTAGTGGGGAGTTCTCTGATCTCTCCACAGGCCAGGAGGGCAGACATCAAGGCCACTGTAGCGGAGAGCTGGTCTCCCACAGCCTATTTCAGCTGGTATCCTAGAATGGCTCAGGAACAAGTAGTAAATCCAATAGGGTAACAAGCACAATCAGCAAGGCAATCCAGTAATATCCCATCACCTTTCCCAATAACTGGACGACACACAGTATCAGGAGTAGAACTTGACTAACGTTTTAATCACACAACCCCTGCTTTTATGCAATGCACTCGTGCAAGGGAGCCACCCACAATAATTTGTACATTAACAAATAAAGTACAGGGTACAACCCACACATCTCCTCCCATCAGCTTATCTGTTAACAGAATTAAAATGTACATATTTTTCCCCAAATTTTAGATGTATCATAAATACATAGGGTACACCCCTAATAATAACATATTCAAATATCACCCATATCGAACCGGGGGTTAAAAAGTTTTGTGGAGTCCCCCTTTAGGAGCACTGAAGCATGGCTTGCCAGCCCTAACTTTCCAGCCCAAACCGGTTCCAACTAGTCTGGCAGTGTGCCTGGGACAACACCCTGCTGTAGAACAATGGGACAGGAGCAGATTGTGTTCCTATACACAATCTATACACAGTCTAATAGAATTCCATACTAAAACCTTTTATGTTCAAATAAAAAAAAAATATGAAGGAAATGTGTTGGACAGCCAGAGGGGTTCTGCTACAGCCACCATTGTGTAGACCAGCAGGGGGCATGAAAGGATCTCCCTTGTTGGCCTGGGCACATGGGGAACCTGGTGGGGACCCTGCCTTCACTGCCAAGTCTTGCTACTTGCTTAATGTTTGCTACTTTTTGCACATAGTTCAGGCTTTCTATAACCAGATCAAGAACAGTGTATCCAGTCGCAGTCCAGATGCACTAACTTGTCATCTGCTTTGTAAAATCCAGGCTTTGAACACAGTACAATTTGGCTAATCTGTTTATTCCCAATTTATCCCAGTGATTTCTAAACCTCAACCCTTCTGTTATCTAGTGGGCCTATTCCCTCTACTTGTTTAATCTGTTCTGTTTTCCCTTTTTATTCCTATGTTTATACTGTACAACTTGTCTCTGCATCAGTTTGGCACTGGACTAAGTTTACGTAAATAATCTTATTGATAGATTTGATCACAAGATCTTTCACTCACGTGAATCTAGCATACGTGGGAATGCTATACATATCTTCCTTATACCAGAGACAGGTGCAAGGACTCGTGAAATCACTGGGTGGGAGTAATTTGAGAAATGCATGTTGGTTATGATATATATATATATATATATATATATATATTTTTATTTTTATTTTTTTTTATTGTAACCTTTTTATAGCCTTTTACTAGATGCTATTTGCAGACACATCTGGGTTTTCATGTGTCATTGGTGGAATGATCAATTGGTGTACAGTGTTCACTATTCATGTTCACACTATAATGGATTATACTGTGATCGAATTTACTTTGATTCCAAGACTCAAGCTTATAGATGTCAATGTAATGATATCCTATATTAAAATTGGATTAACTTGGACTCAGGAAATGCCTGATACTTAAAACAACACTTAAGACCATATATGTCTAGTTCCGGGAGCAGTTGGCCTCCACCTGAGATGTCTCTTCTCTAATCATTCTGTTCTTTCTTTCTCTGAACTTATTGTTATAGGTACATGATGTACATATGTCTTATCTGTACTCTTACCCTTTCACTCCCTTCCTACTACTGTCCTATGAGTATATGCACATAAGCACTTTTTAATGTATAAAATCCAGCTGATGAATAATATTTTGAATACCAACAGGTGTCTAATTCGCGCTCCTACAAGTGCACTTGTAATAATAATTTGGGCTTCCTCTGAATATAATAAAGATCAATATTTGGATCTATATCAATACTGTTGGAGCTTTTTCTGTGTGCTCACACCTGCTCTTATGCCATGGACTCTTTTGGCCTACCCATCTGAAGTTTCTCCACACAATGTCTTGGGGAAAAAAAATGCAGACTGATGCCATGTTGAATATGTACTCCAATCTATTGGAACTAAGCAATAGTTTATGTAGACTCTAGTTTTGAAACTTTCAGAGGTATGCATGATTACGCAAACAGATTGAGATGTTTTGTGCAATCTTATTACAGAAAAATGTATGATTTGGGGGGGAGGGGGACTTGTTTATAACTTGCACTTTCGCTGTACATGTTAAATTGTGTTTGGTTTTTGTTCCCTGCCAGTTTCGAGGCAGTACACTGCACATGGGATATTCTCTAGTCTGGAAAGGCACGCAGACACCTAAAATTTAAATGATTAGGCTCCTCCCCTGGGTATAACTCTGAACTCCCAGTACTCTACTTGCCTTAGGCAGGATAAGGTGCTGTGGCTGGGGGCACTTTCCTGGCGTATTCAGAGGAGGCCGAGCTCTATCGTCTTCTAGATGGAACACTCGCAGAGTGCCTGTGTTTCACCTTCTGCTCTTTCTGTGAGGTACCAGAAATGGAGAAGGTGTGCTCTGTGCATAGGTTGGGGAGGTCCTAGCAGTGGACACACGCTGCGATGCGTTCCACTGGGAGATTGCGGAGTGCAGTGCCATATGCAATGCAATCTCAAAATTCAAGTGTGAAAATAAAATATAATGGTCGTAGCAGGCTTATTCCCTTTTGTGTGGTTGTCTGTACCCCCTTGGTAGTTTCCCAAATGGATGGTATGTGGTTTCCTTTCATACCTCCTCGAACACTGACCTTCCCTGGCTTTTAACCACAAATCAAATTATTCAACTCACGTGATGCAGCGGCCATTCTGTCTCCTGAACACCGGCAGCAGTACATGGTCATCGAACACCTAAAACTAATTTTCAGCCATGCAAGTCCACGAACCCAGGTGGAGTTCGTACCACTGCCTGTTCTACTTCTCGACCGACTAGACAAACGACATTCGCGAGATATGAACTACCGACTGGGGAAAGTATTTGCTCCCTAAAAGCCAGGGGGAGTATTCATCTGTGTTCGCACAGGAACCCCTGACAGTTGATCTGCCATCACCATTTCTCTGGAACTGTTTTGGACCATCTGCTCGTGGCCTGTTGGTTAGAACTTTACCTGAATGGGGACTCTGTTCTACTGAACAGTTTTGAGTGTTTTTTGGATATGTTGGGTGATCAGATCAGAGCTATTCAGGGATATATACACTAATGGTGTGGTTCCTATGAATTCTGACTGTTATTGGGGTGTTTGTGTATATGTTATATATTTTCCTGTACCTGAGAAATTGAGTTACTCAGTTTAAACTCCGTCATCTCTCAGACAATGGGACGACTGGCAGGGGCTTGTGTACATCTGAATGGAGACCCCATGCTGGGGTCTGTGCAAAAAGGATGTTTGTGTGGAATAAATCAGTTGTACTCTTAGAACTGTCATCTAGTTACTGGAGACTGGATAGAGCTATTTGCATTTCAGTGCCTTGTTCCTGTCTTCACAGATCCAGCAGAGGAAAAGTTCTTGTCAGGACTAGCGCTCTGCTACAATGGTTTCCAGGCCTGTAAAGGTTGTAAAAACTCAGAGGTAACTATCTTTTTGCCTTGTGCTCTCAGTTATGTTGCAGTGTGCTCTCACCAGCCCTCCACCACACTTAGAGGCTTAACCGCACATTACTTTTTCTTTTGTCTTCTGGTCTCTTGCATGAAATGTTTGTGTATATAATTTTTTTTCTTCCTAACTGGATTGTTTTTAGTATGTCTATACTTAAACCAGCTGTTAAATCTGCTGAGGGGAAATGTCTTTCTAATTCAATGCATTTAATCTGTTCCTCTGTGTGCAGCCTAGCTGGAAGGCTGGTTCTAAGTAAACTTCTAATAAACTGAAAAGCCTTAAAGAGACATTCCACTGGTCGGATAAAAATTAAATAAAAACACTGTTTAGTAGACTTTAGGATAACCAGACCAGAAGGTAACCAGACTTGTTGTCTGCTTAAAAAGCAAGGGGTAGTAACCAGTGTTCATTTCTTTTAACAGGGGTTTGGAGTGTTCCTTTAAGTATCCTTATTTGTGACATGATTCCTGTAACGGAGCTTCCTGTTGGGTAACACTGCTGACAGATGCTCCTAGTGCTTACCGAGGGCTGGATGTGGATTCAGTCCTGCTACCCTCAGAGCTGCCCTGGATGATAGCAGACAACTTCCTGAGCAATTGGCTCACCTCCAACCTTGTTTGGCTGCCGGTGTTGTCACCCCCAACGGCCAGGACTCTGCTGGGGACTCCCACGTGGCTACAGCCCATGTAGGCCACATGGGTCAGCACTCCTGGCCGCCTGCTCCCTGGGTCCGGATTCAGCGCCTTGAGCCCGGTGTAGGAGCCTGAGCCCGGGCCCTAGGAACTGCCAGGCCTGCGTGTCTGCCCCATCTGACACGCTCGGACAGTCTGGGGTGTCTTGGAGGCCTTCCTAGGAGCCACACGGTGAATGGACCTGTGAGTGGGCCCCATGGGGCCAAGCAGGGCACGGCTGTGCCTTTGTTGGGGGGGTGGAGGGGTGCTCCCCTGGTTATGGTGTGTCCTCTGGGTCCAAGGGACTGCTGGTGGGGGTTCCCCTCTCCTCCCCCTGCGGCTGTCCATCGTTTCCCCCTCTTGCACCCCCCCCTTGTGGTGTACTCCTGGTCCTCTCTTGGGGGAGTCCCTTCCTCTTTGGTTTCTCTCTGGTTCCCCCCCCCCCCGACCTTGTAAGGAAGTGAAATGGTTAACTCTTTTTGCTTTATATGCTTTAAAATAATGTTTGAAATAATTATGCTGACTTTGGCAGATGTATTTTGTACCAAGGTCTTTCCTCTACAGGATGTATGACCTTCCTTGACCTTAGGATGTTCCTGTCTCGTCTTCATCCAAATGCTTATCTTTTTCATGTCCGACAAGTATGTACTATTAACCACAAGGACACTCTAGATCTCACTGCTTGCATGACAAACTGTGTATAAATGCTAGCCCTGAAAATATACTCATTGAGAACTTGTTATGCACTCTTTCGTGTCTGTGTGTCTTATTTGCTAAACAAGATCTCCCATCAATTGATGTGGTGATCGAAGGAGCGAGAATCGAGGGGAGTTGAGTCCAGAACAGCATTTATCCTTTCAGCTTGGTGTCTAGAAGTGGGATCAGCAAAACCATTGGGTGAGTAGCCTTTTTGTGTCTTATTGACGCTAATTGTCTATGACCCCCTTTGGTTTAGTAAGTCTGTATCCAGTAGAAAGGAAAGGTATAAGGACTTAGTTATATTGAGACTGTAAATAGGTCTCCGGTTTATTAGACATTTGGTCTAAATATATATAGGGTTTTTGGTAACCCAGGTTAGTATCTAAGATAGATACAGGGTATCTCAGGTAGATACAGGTTTTGAGACTATAAAGGAGCCTCCGGTTTATTAAGACTATAAGTGTTCTAGGGAACACGGTTTATAGATCTAGAATAACCCAAACTTCTCGTTCCTTTGGTCACCCTGTGTCTGCTTTGTGTTTATTTTGCTTGTTAAGTAGAGACACACTATTGGTAAGTCGGTAGTGTCTCTACCCTGAGCCAGAAATATGGGAAATAATCAGTCTATTTCTTACCCTTTACCCCACCCAGGGGAGTCATGTCTAAATTATGTTACTAGAATAGGAGCACAAGGAGGATTTCTTACAATCCCCTTTGTGTCAAGTTTAGCAGGATGGACAGAGAAGTCATCTGATCCTTTTCCTAGGTGTGGGGCTAATGATGATTTCCATATGTGAACATATGTAACCTGCTACTGACATGCTGTCAGCCATTTTGCTGTTTATTCATCATCTTAAAATATAATCAAAGAAGAATATTTACTCTAAGAAATAAGAAGAAACTATGTTTTATTGCTACATTTTATTAATGGATGTCTGGACAGTTTTTTGGATTGCAAAAGGAAAAGTTATTTTGAAAGCGTGTCTTGTCAGATGTTGCCAGGGGGGGAAAGGTGAAATGTGTGCTAAAGTTGTGAAAGAGGAAGTCAGGTTTATATGTGTTAACTCTTATCATAGACAAGCGATATTTTAGCGAAGTAAGACGCATGACTGTGGTCAAGTTATCTGTTAGAAAGATCATGGGATGCTTAAACTTTTGAACCTTAAATTTGTCAGTTATGCTAGAATTTAGCCAATAGGAAATAAGACCATATTTGGAGTTCTGATTCAAGCTAAACGAAAGGCCAGTTCCGGGTCATATGTATAAAATATGAGGAATTGTAACATGATGTTAGATTGCTTCTTGCCAATCTCCATGAGATATCTCTGTGTATTGTAATGGTCAATTAAACGCTTTTTATTGAACCTGGTAATATTTTTGTCTACTTCCACAGTTGGGGGCTCGTCCGGGATCAGAATACCACAGACACCAGCGGAACACCTGCACCTGCCAACTATTTCGTGGGCACTCAAACAGACCGGTCATATGAAAGGTAAGCCATACCATTTATAAAACATGGCATTAGTGTAATTTTTGAGTGTCCATGAAACAAAGAACGGTGCAGGTAAATGCTAGTCTGTGTGACCTGATTTCTTAGCCTTTTATTGACCATTTGTAACGTTACTATTTATGTCTATGTTGTAAAATATACTACAGTATTAGTGTCTATGTCTGAGTGATTCTAGAATCAGTGGTAGCACTGACAGGTAGTCCCCTAGGAAGACTTAAGTGACTAAACTTCGCAGACCCAATAGGGGTTTGGTGGGCCTTCAGAAGTCTAAACGTAGCTCTGTTGGTGAGAGTCTCTTTGATATGATGTATCCCTGTCATGTGATTGTGGCTAAATGTTGAGGTTAGCCACATGAATCTAATCTCCCAAGTCTAAACGTAGCAAAGCGAGATTAGATTATTTTGTTTTATTGTCTTAATTTCACCCAGTCTAAACGTAGCAAGGTGAAGTTAAGTTGTCTTGTATTAATTGTTTAAACTCATAGGTTAAACGTAGCACTTGAGTAAGATGTATTGTGTTAAAATTGTATAACTGTGTGTATATGGTTTAAATTTTGATAAACTGTGACATCATTTGAGAAGAGATTTTTGTGTAAACTCCAGTTGTCAGTCAGTATACAGACTGAAAATTGTGACCTTTCGATCTCTCAAAAGGTGATATAGTGGTGTGTAAAAGTACAAGTAACAGAAATGGGGTTGAATCATGGCAAGCAGCTTGATCATGGGGATAGTATACCCAGTGATTCCCCAGTTTATTTAATGAACCAGAAATATGGCCCTTCAAATATTATGTATTCAAAGAAATGGGCAAAGTTAACTAAGAATAATATAAATCCATGGCCAGTGGTGGGGTCATTAGACCCTTGGGTGTTGTTAAGTTTAAGAACAATGTTGTTAAATGGAAAAAGTCTTTCAAAACTGGAATGGTCTGCATATATGTTATGGCATGAGGAAATTGAAAAGAAAAAGCAAGAATGTTCCCCCCAGTCAGGTGCAACAGGAGGGGCATGTAAAGGAGAGGGTACTGGTGTTGCCTGTTTGTATCCCTCACTGTACAATTTAAAAAAATATGTTAAAAATCCTCCGCCTTATAATGATGATGAGGATTTTTTGATTAATCATGAGATTATGAATCCCTCTTTGGGTCACTTCCCCTCAGCAGATGAATGATGCACCACAGCTTGTACCCCAAAATTTAGCTGGTGCCTCAGCCATGTTGCATTGAGGTGGTAGACCTGAGAGGGATATTAGACTGCCTAAAAGATTTGCTGATCATGCTGTGGTTACTATCAGGTTTATCAGGATGTAGAAATGTGTTGCCTGAGTGATGGGAGTGAGGCTATGATTTTACCTATTAGAGAAGTGGGACAGATGGATAATGATGGGAGACCACGGAGGATTTGTCAACCGTGGAGCCCACAAGACATAGCATTTTTACAGGTATCATTTCCTGCCCCCTCTAGATCCAAATGGGTTTGTAAAACATTTAAAAATAATGTGTGCCAGCTATTTCCCCACAACATAAGATCTTAATGAGTTAATGGAGACAGTATTAACCCCTACAGAACATACTAAATGGGTGGCAGGATATGACGAGTCACCTTTTTCATGGCCTGCAGGGGTGGGGGGACAAGCAGTTGCACACATATGGGAAAATTGCCCTGATGAGAGGAGTGATGTTGTTCTTAAAAAATTTGTATGCATTCCTCAGCATCAAAGTAAAAACAGTTTTTACCCAGCCTATTGACTATACATAGCATAGTGCAAAAGAAAGGAGAAAATCACTATGAATATGGGGAAGCAATTAAGGTTTTTGGAAGTTTTGAAGATATCACGGTTGAATCAATTAAGCCGTTCATAGTGAATACCTTAGTAAATGCTTTGGATGCTAAAGTAAAAAAAAAAAACAATTGATGTTATCCTTACTGGGATGACGGGATAAATCACTTGATATTGTATTAAGTGCAGCATCAGAAATTTGACAAGCTATTCAAATCAAGGAAAATGCAAAAGCTGAGCACATAATGCTACAAGCTGAACAAATTCCTGTTAGATATTATGCACATCAGCCAAGACAAAACACAGCCAGAAGACCCCCACAGAATAATGTAAGAACATTTATCAAATGTTTCAATTGTGATGGATATGGTCATATAGCAACAGATTGCAAGGAGGTAAAGGGGGCAAGAAAGCAATTAGAAGAAAAAGACAGACTAGATGTAGAGGAAGATTGGGGTCTGAATATGTATTGTTAGTGTACCTGTGACCCAAGGTCTAGAACCTATGGTACATTTGAAAGTAAAGGGATTGTATGTGATACTGAGGGAAGAAGAAGTAAGTGATTTTGGTGGGGAGAATGTATATTTAGTGGAAGACCAGCATTGCCATCATTGTTTAATTCTGAATGGTCAAGGCTGGGCCTAGAATCTGTATTGGCACTGGTGTGTTCTTCATGTGTTATTTGTTTACAATACAATGCAGGTCAGAGACCTAAATCATCCTCCCTGTCCATGAGGTCCATTTGTAAATTTACAAATGGATTTCATTGAATTACCAAAGGTAATGCAGTACCGGTATGTGCTAGTAATATTAGATACATTCTCAGGTTTGGTTGAGGCTTATCCTTGTTGCCATGCCGATATGTCTACAATGTTTAAGAAATTGTTACAAGAATTTATACCCAGGTATGGATTGCCTCGGCACATTTACTCAGATCAGGGAACACATTTTATAGGAAAAGTAGTGCAACAGATAGCAAAAATTTTGCAAATCCCTTATCATTTACATTGCTCTCATCCTCCTCAGTCAGAAGGAGCAGTAGAAAGGGCCAATGGAACATTGAAAAACAAAATTGCAAAAATTGCAGCAGAGAAAGTTAAAGTGGCTTAATGCACTTCCTCTTGCCTTAATGTCTATGAGATTCTCTCTAGTTTGAAAGCAGGGTTATCCCCTCATGAAATTCTAATTGGAAGACCAATTTTCACAGGAGGGGTACCTATAAAATGTTATTCTCATGAGATAAATAATGGTTTAGTAATGACGTATTGCATGTAGCTAACAAAACGATTAGTCTCTCTATATGCAGGTAAAAGCTGTACAGCGAACAAGTGAATACCAACCTTTGCATGCCATCGCTCCTGGAGATTATGTTATGATAAAAGACCATTCACGAAAGCACGCGTTGCAACCAAGGTGGAAAGGACCTTCTCAAGTGTTATTAACCACTAATCCAGCTGTTAAAGTCGCAGGGGTTAAATCTTGGATCCACATTTCCCATTGTAAACTGACAAGCGCTGGAAAAGATTTTTTCACTGGAAGAAGAATAGAGGACTAAGGAAGCCGTTTTCCCTTATAAAAAGGGGTACTTTTTAAGGGGAGTATCTTTCTAATCCAAAGTCAACTCTACTGTTTTTCTTCATGAATCTCAAACTGGTTAAACTTATATTGTATTTAATGATTGTCATTATGACATTTTTTTTAATTTTTCATCCTCTACACTACGTTAGCTCCTCTTTTTCTTCTTTAATACACGTGTAGCTTGGGCCAGGGAGCCAAGTATTTTTCTTCTTGGGAGATAGATAATCATTTCGTTAAAACAGCTACTGAATTGTATAAATTGGATGGAGCTACTGAATTGAGAAGATGGGATGGAGCACATAGAGCCTGTGGAAGGGGTGGTCAAAGAGGGGCAAGGGGATGGAGACAGGGAAATCAGGGTTATAGGGGCAGGGGTAACCAAGGAGGAATAGACAGGAACACTTGTTTCAACTGTGGCCAGCATGGCCACTGGAGGAATGAGTGTCCACACCCCAGGAAACCCCAGCAGCCCCAACAACCTCACAATTATCAAAATACGCCCGGTAGGCAAGAACAACACCAGGCCCACTCCCAACACCACTGGCCAGCACTTCCCTCTCCCCCCCCCACTCCAGCAAACCCAAACTGCATTAGGGCCATTCACAGGTACCACTGACCAGCACACCCATCACATCCCATGGCCCCAATAGGGCTGCCTTGAAGGTGACACTCCAACTTTTCCACTTTTGTCCTCTACTAATGATGATCAGCCTTTTTGTATTCTGGTCATAGAAGGTAGATCCTTGCCATTTTTGGTAGATACTGGAGCTACATGTTCCAGTCTCTGTGATACCTATTATCAGGGGACAAGGGAGAAGTCTACACCTTCATTGGGTATTAATGGAGTGTCAACCCCCACTTTTGTCACACCACCACTGTCTGTTTTCTGTCCTCTTAATGGTTCTTCTACTGTGCACCCTTTTCGTCTAGTACCTAAATGTCCTGTTAATTTACTGGGGAGGGATCTTCTTGGTATTCTGGGAGCTACTATTACTTGCACGCCCTCTGGTGGTATTGATGTGTCTATGTTGTGTTCTGAAACTATTGATTTGTCTGATGTTCCTTCTTCAGTGTGGGCTTCATCTAAGATGTAGGATTTGTCAACTGCACCCCTTACAAAGCCAAACTAAAACCAGATGTAACTCCTATCTACCTTAAACAGTACCCCCTGTCAGAAGCCAAGGTTGAGGGAGTTCGCCCCATGATCCAATCTTTTCTAGAGCAGGGAATACTAAAGACAGTAGTTTCCCCATATAACACACCTATTAATCCAGTTCCTAAAGGTAATGGTTATCGCTTAGTTCAGGATTTTAGAGCCCTGAATAGTTTAATTGTGCCCATTGCACCCATTGTCCCTGATGTGACATCCCTCATTACAGCCATTCCACATGATGCCACTTGCTTCACTGTCATTGATTTAAGTAATGCATTTTTTTCTATACCTATTGATCAAGAGACACAGCTACTTATGGCTTTTACTTTTGAAGGCTGTCAGTATACCTGGACACGTTTACCCCAAGGCTATGTGGATTCCCCAGCCGTTTATTCGCTGGTACTCCAACATACTCTAAAAACATGGACCCCCGGTCATGGTTCCGTCCTTTTGCAATATGTTGATGACTTATTGTTATGTAGCCCTAGCTATGAGGCAAGCACTGTGGATACTGTCAGTTTGCTCAAACACTTAGCAACTGTGGGTCACAAGGTTGCAAAACACAAAATGCAATTGTGTAAATCAAAGGTTGATTACTTAGGTTTTGTTCTGGCTTCAGGCACCAGACAATTGAGTCCAAAACGTATTGAGGTCATTCAGAGGATTCCTAAACCCACTACTCGGAAGGAGTTGCTCACCTTCCTCGGCATGATTAATAACTGTCGCCAATGGATCCCTGAATGCTCCCATTATGACTCAATCCTAAGGGAGGCTGTACGTTCTGACAGCCCTGAAAATGTCTGTTGGTCACCAGACATGCTAGCTGCGTATATTGCTCTCAAAGTTGCTATTGTACAAGCCCCGGCTTTAGGACTACCTGTGTATTGTAAACCATTTCATTTGTATGCTCGGGACAACTGTAAAACCATGGCCGCGGTCTGTGCACAAGAGCACGGAGGCGGTATGCGTCCCATAGCATTCTTTTCCAAAGTAGTTCCAGCTCTGGTACAGGGTATGCCGGCGTGTCTCAGAGCATTGGCAGCATGTGCAATGGCTGTTGAGACTGCTACTACTATCACACTAGGGCATCCTACAATACTCCATACCAGTCACCAGGTTACTCAGCTTATAAAAAATCTCACCACACAACACATGACAGCCCAGCGCTTAAGTGGTTATGAGATTATTCTTCTTAATACCCAGAATCTGTCTATTGTTTATAGTCCTGTTAATTCTGGTCCTATGTCTGTTTTGCATGCTATTCTCACTTCTGCATCTGACTCTGTGTCTATACCATCTGAGCCTCATAATTGCATTGAACAAATACATATTGCTACATCTCCCAGAGCAGACCTCTCCTCCACAGCACTCAGTGGCCCGGATGTGACCACTGTCTTTGTGGATGGCTCTTGCTCCAGACCAAATGATGGTACATACCTCACAGGCTATGCTGTGGTACAGCTACCTGATAAAATCATTGAAGCTGACACTATTTTCCAGCCGTCTGCACAAGCTGCAGAACTCATTGCTCTCACACGTGCCTGTCAGCTTTTCTCAGGACAGCAAGTGAACATTTACACAGACTCACGATATGCTCATGGGGTAGTGCATGATTTTGGTGTGATTTGGAAACAAAGAGGCTTTGTAGGAGCCGATGGAAAAGCCATTTCACACACAAATCTCATCCAATCACTCCTAGATGCTATCCTACTCCCATCTGAAGTAGCTGTTATCCACTGCAAGGCACACACTCTGGGTAGTGACGACATTTCCAGAGGTAATGCCTTGGCTGACAAAGTGGCAAAAGAAGTTGCAGCCAAGACTCTTTATTATGAAATGTTTCCTGCTATGCTCATACCTCCCACATGCCCAACTGACAGTTTGCTTTTGCAGCTCCAAGCCTTTGCAACGCAATCTGACTTTGATTTTTGGATTAAACAAGGTTTAGAAAAAGATCAGAATGATCTTTTCTCTAGAGAGGGGAAGATAGGCATACCTGAAGCCAGCTGTTTTATCTTTATCAGTCAGGCCCATGGTCCTGGCCACAAGAGCATAGCAAGTACCATCCAATTCCTCATGAATTCATTTTATATTAGGAATCTCAGGCAGCATGTACAGTCTTTTGTTAGATTGTGTGAACCATGTATGAGAACACATCCGAATATTCCACACAAATCACAGCACGAACATTTGCCCCCTCCAGCTGCTCCTTTTACACACTTACAGATTGATTTTACTCATGTACCCAAAATTGGTAAGAAACAGCAATACTTACTGGTCATAGTTGATCAGTTTAGTAGATGGCCTGAGGCCTTTGTGACATCTAGGGAGGATGCTAGGACGGTAGTGAAGATTCTTGCTACTGAAATTATTCCCAGGTATGGCTGCCCTCTGCAGATTAACTCTGATAATGGCCCAGCTTTTGCTAGTAAGGTTACCCAGGAACTTGCTAAATTCTTGCAAGTTACCTGGAAGTTTCATATACCCTATCATCCACAGAGTTCAGGGGTAGTTGAAAGGATGAATAGGACCATTAAGGAGAAGCTTATGAAAGCTACTGCAGGAACATGGGTAAATTGGACAAAATATCTTCCAGCTATTTTAGCTGAGATAAGAATGACTCCTCACAAGGTGACTAAATTATCTCCATTTGAGATTCTGATGGGACGACCTTTTCCCACACCCTGGGCCAGGGAACCGCTTGTTATAATGTCTGGGGATTTACAGCTAATACAAGAACAATATGTACAGGAATTGTTGATAAAACTGAATGGTATATATGGCAATGTTTCTTCGCAGTTTCCCTTACCTTCACAGGAACCTACTCATCCATATCAGCCCGGTGACAAGGTGTATATCCGTCAGCTGAATAGGACCAAGAAAGGAGGATACCCTTTCGGACCACCTGCTACTGTGATTGCTGTAACCAGAACCGCTGTCCTCACAGATTCCCACGACATCTGGATTCACGCATCCCGAGTGAAGCTGTGTCCAAAGAGGGGAACCAAGGAAGACAACACCACTCCTCACTCGGAAAGAGAAGAATTTCCCCTTAGCGAAGCATCATGGCTTTCACACCATATCGTAGATTGAGAGGATCATACGAACCTGAGACCAAGATTATGTTGTGCGCTATGCTTTCTGGAGTTGTTATACTCCCTCTGATATTATTCCTTGAATGCCATTATGAGTACAAGTCAATGGGAAGTTTGAAACCTGTTTGTTTCTGGAGAAATGACTCTGACATGATGAACAATTCTTCAATACCCCAGCCCAATTAGGCCTTAGCCCCTCATCTAGCACTCGTCACACACGCTCCCTCAAGAACCTTTCTCCACCACCTATCTATCAGCATGTAATATGCAAGCACTCATTGACTGAACACATATGGATGAACTGGATAAATAATAACCCTTATAAGTACCAGTTACCCATATGGAATGTGTCCACAGCTAATGAAACCGATGCATTATGTTTGTTTGAAGGTTCACGAAAAATTGTTAGATCTTATAACGCAGAAATGTGCACAGTTAAGGTTGCTAATTACACCAGCATCTGTGCCACCTTATTTAATATAAGTTCTGATGGTAAGAAAAAAACACCTAAACAGGTTTGGGATATATATTATAAGAAAATTAGTAAGGTTGCATATCAATGTAAACAGACAGGCCTTATTATTTTTAATAATGATTATACAACTGGTACCATTAATTGGAAAAGGGGACAAATGTTAGTCATTATGAACGACACTGCGATTGAGAACTGTACACTATCTTATATTTTTACACCTTATTACTGTCCTTCATCCTCTACCATAGAACCAAAAGTCAACCACGACACACACACACCTATTCCGTCCACATGTGTTAATACAACTGCCTTCTTACAAGCTGTACATGTGTCATTAAAAATCACTACTCCTGTTGTAACAATATGTAACACAGCAAACAAAAGGCAGAAAAGGGAATGGTATGACACACTGTTAGGAGGTGCTGGAACCACTATGGGTATACTAAATAGTATAGACATGGAGACCCTCAAGAATAAGTTAAACACGGCCAGCATGCATATAGGGACTGGTTTCCATGCTACTGCAAACTGGGCTCCAATTGTTGTTAAATCACAGGTTACAGGATTGGATTTAGATACATCAATGTATAACTATTTAGGTAATTTAACTGTTGCAACTATGAAATTCACTACAGATCTTGGTAACTGGAGTACTTGTGCCATCAGGTATTTATGGATGCAACAACAAAGACTGGCATTAGAAGACACACTAATGATTCCTAAACTAGAGAAGATTAGAGGGATGCTTAACCTCACAGATAATGAATGGTTACTTCTAAAACCCCAATCCACTAAATGCAATGAATGGTTAACTGGTAATGTTTCACATTTTTCATGCTCATGCTATTTTACACTATATCATACATCATCAAAGGATGTTAAATTAGCTTGTCAATTTAACACATTACCAGTACCAGTTTATGATCTCTTTACCAGGAATTTAACCTGGTGGGCACCCACATACACAGGGGACTATATTTTCCCCAAAGATAATATGACCTATTCCCTTAAACACTGTGTTCTCACTGACAAAGGATATGCATGTCGACACTCGTCCCCTATTTATGAACCATGCTTACTCCAAAATGAACTTAACAAGTGCATATGGCACATATATCCTGAAAATTATTTTACCATGACTGAAATAAGCACACGACATATCTGTTTGGCAACTAACCTCCCTACAAAGATAATTACTAGTAATACAAGTATTAATCTACCTCTCCCCTTTTCAGGATGTTTGACTAATGTTACCTGGTTAGATCTTAATGACACCCAATATTATTTCAGCGACACAATCACTTTAGACAAACATATTAATGCCCTATTAGGCTCTCTGCCTTTTAAAGATTACCATCTACCTCTTGAGACTATTGTCTCCTTAATGAAAGGAAAACAAAATATGTTTAAACATCTTGTTACACATAATGATGCTATAGTACACACACAGGTAGCCACACATATCCTAAAAGGAGAACTCCTTAAGGTGAGTTCACAAATTCAGAATGATTTAGCCCATCATTGGTACGATGCTTTTACAGGTTGGTCCCCTACTGGATCCCAGATAATGAAATCATTCTTCTATCCTCTTGTTATTATAAACCTGATTGTATTAGGTATGATTTTATATAACTGCCATCTTACTTGTACATTGAGGAAGAGAATACAGAAATTAATCCATAATGCAGAACAGAAACAATTGGAAATTCTCCTCTCTGCCACTGGAGGCTATCAACCCATCTTTAAAACTGGGCCTTAGGAATTACCACATGGGAATCGAGGTGAAGAAATTAATGAAAGTCCCGCAGGGAGTGACTAGCACCCCTGAAAATACCATGTGGAAGTTTCTCTGACCTGGGAAGATCTTCTCAATGATATGAGCAAGTGTATTGCTCAAAGAGGGGGATGTAAGGAAGTGAAATGGTTCACTCTTTTTGCTTTATATGCTTTAAAATAATGTTTGAAATATTTATGCTGACTTTGGCAGATATATTTTGTACCAAGGTCTTTCCTCTACAGGATGTATGACCTTCCTTGACCTTAGGATGTTCCTGTCTCGTCTTCATCCAAATGCTTATCTTTTTCATGTCCGACAAGTATGTACTATTAACCACAAGGACACTCTAGATCTCACTGCTTGCATGACA